TGAATAATTAACAATTATTCCACGAGCGCGCGTTGGATATGAGATGATAGATAGCCAACGAGGCGCGTAGCGCCGAGTTGGCTATAATCATCTCATATCCAACAAGCGCGAGTGGAATAATTGTTTTATTAAAAACGCCCCCAAGAAATTATTATTTTGTAAGAAGAAACCGGATTTTTTAGCTCCCTTTTGATTTTAAGCTGACGCGTACGCTTACCATTTTTGTAGATTATGGTATATTAGCTCATATACCATAATGGCTAAGCCAATAAAACGTCTTGAATTGCATTATCCAATGATCCAGTTTTTAATAATATCGGTTATCAAAAACTGAATGGCGGTCAGTTTTCACAGGAACTTATCCCGATTAGGACAGCATGCCAAAGTAGCCCATCTTAAAATATCCTAGGCATTTTGACAGGTTGAACTAACCGTCTTTCCTTTATACCTTCTCATACTCTGAGGCGGTAGTTGGTAGCTCTCGAACCCAGGCCTCCCGCTCCAGAGTCCTGAAGGCTAACCACGAAGCGTTTGCGTTTATGCGCAAGCCACTTCATCTCCTACAGTTAGCTGTGGGAGAAATAAAAGGGTTCTGATTCCTCGCAGGAGGAGATTCCTTGGTGCCGAGTGGATGCATTACGAGAAAAAAATAAAATTAATTTGTACTTGCTACAAATGGGTATAGCATACCAAGAGCTGTTTCAGTCTAGGAGCATCTGCTTTTCACTGATCGCTTTCTGCAAGGATGATAAACTAATCATCACCCCTGACAACAAGACAAAATAGGGAAACAGAGAGGGAAATCAGTGCGTTGAGATACGTTGATTTCTTAAAAGTTGTCTTTGGTTTAAGACAGAAAGGTAAGTCCGACGGTTTCCTTAGACGATCCTAGCTAGATGTCCACACTGTAAATTCTCGCTTATAAAATACCATTTTCCACATATTTTTCGAAGTCGTTTTCCGTGTCAAAACGGATATCCGCGCTGTCAAAGCAGAACATGAGACCGAGGCTACCCTTCATGCGGTCGTCTTGAATGGCATATATCCGTTGGAGAGACCATACATTAATTACTCTGGCAACTCTGATGTATCTAAAGCCTTGGCTCAGGAAGCTCCTTCTCTATCCTCTCGTACTCTAATGTTCAAAGTAATATCTTACTAAAGCAACCAGCAATGATATTTTCACAATCACTTCACCCAACGAACTTTCATTATCTACTCATTAATAAGACTTTGATATGATATCATGGTCATTGGCCCTACATCCTAGTCGATACTTTTCATAATTCTCATAACTTGTCTTATAAACGCATTACTCAAATTCAAAGGAGAATTTTTCAAGTGATCACTCCTCGGCCTTGAAGCGAAAGGGTAACGAACTTAACTCTTTACACCGTAACATCAGTATGCATATTCTCCATTCTGTTTATATACGTTTCCTAAGGTGCTGACAAAGAGAATTTGTTTAGCAATCAACAGCTTCACTAGTTGGTGATCATTCCTTTATTCTCGTGGCCTTCACGTTTGATTCAGGGGTGATATAATAACTTTGTAAGGGGAACAGAATAAGTTGCTAGTCACTCGTCTTAGGGTCAAAGAGCTCAGTAAGGAACATTGTGTCTCAAAACTGAGCTTCTTGGCGGAAACCAAGAAGAAATTTCGAGGCTAATAATCTTTTATTTAATTCAACACAATTATTGGTGAATCGGATTTGCATTTTTCCTTTCGTAAATCGAGCAAGGCCTAAACTGTGATCCTCAGAACGGTTGTTAACCCGTAGCTCTGAAAAAGTTATTTTCCAATGGAATGTTGTGTCTCGCTTTTACGCACTGCTCAGTCATTGCTGTACTACGTAAGTGTTGACAGTAACGCGCAAACTACTTCCCTTGCCGAAATGTTTTCTGTGAATGGCATGGCATAGCATTAGCTATGAGCAAGGACGTGTATTAACATAACACGAGCGGAGAGAGGAAGCTTGCTGAGTTTCTATACCTCTTCCAGCATGGCAATTAACTTTTCACATGTGTTAGTCTGGGAAGTTGACCTCGAAATCTTCATTCAAGCTGTGCTTAAACAGAAGTCTTACTTCGCGGGGAAAAACGCCTTGAAACATGCAGACATTTTAGTCATACCAAATGGACGAACACCCGTGTAAATTGTTTGTGAAAACAACGTGAAACGCAAAAGTTCACAACGGGAATCGATCGCTCTCGGAACAAGAGGATGTTTGCTAGAGCATTCAACCACAAGGTTTATTTTCCTTCGAGGGGTCTTCCAGAGAGAGGACATTCTCGCTCCATGTTTACCTGCGAACGAAAACGGTACGTTACTTTTTTAACAGTGTCTAAGAAGTGTGAATCGACCCTGTACATGATTAATGGTAGATATGGGACTGTCTGTACCACGCAGGTCTCTTCAACTAAAAGCGCCACTATGGACGTCAGGGGCAAGACTATCACCCCAGTCACGTCTAGCCTCTATATCAAAATCCCTTTCAAACCTTAATCCCTCTAAATGTTCAGTTAACGCCGTAAAGAACTTAAACCGTTTCGTGCAATTATGAATGCTAATACAGTTTTAATTGGCCAATTGTGATAATCCAAAGGTACAGACTGAGTCTGTAAATTTCTGCGATCGAAACAATGATTATTTTCACCCATAGAATTAAGTAATGTTTTTGTCCTCATTTGATGAACTTTAAACGAGAAATTATCGATATTTTCCCGTGAAACTGGAACAGAAGCAAATGTTGTTTTTTGTTTAGAAAATTACTCTGGGCATCAAAGATACTTAAAAAGTTTATATGCAAGTCTTGCTGTGTCAGAATCAACTCTACGCAGAAGCGCTGACAAGTGATTTTGACTTGGTTGTCATTTGGTTCCAATGTGTACCCCCTTTCATGGAAATGTACCTCAGTGAACGAAAAAATCATTAAAATGCTTTGATTACTACGTGATACTTGTGTAGATGCGTAGGCCGGGTATTATAATCCATGCTAAAAAATCTAGTTCTTTCTCCGCACAATTATAGGATGAAATGTATTCATAACTCTTTTTCCAAACACCGCGCAGTTGAAAAGAAGAAAGTGATTAAATAAACCAACAATTTTTTTCAACTTCCTCTCTGAAAACCTTCCTGTATTAGCGGGGCGTTATCAAATTCCTTTTTATCAATCACAGTCAAGAATTCTCTTATTATTGTTGTTTCTGAATTATGCAATATTTGTGTTTTTTTTTTCAAACGGAAAAATGTTGAAACTAGATCTGTTTCAGCTGAACTCTCCATGCGGCCATTACAAGTTTTCATAGCCACATGTGGTGAGAATCGTTCGCTCAAATGCAAATTAGAAATGTCGTTGTTGCACAAGTTTTCTTCCTAAATTCTATTGAAATAATTTTAAAGTAGGCGACTTTAAATACCTCACAGGGACAAGTATTCTTAGTAAGGCAGAAATTGGTTTAAATCGAACAGGAAAGGTTAGTCCGTGATGCAATTCATGTTATCGGAGACGTTATAGAATGAAACTGTTCATATTCAAATGCTTAGCTCATAAAATTTAATTACCCCCAACCATAAAAGTATATTTGAAATAAAATTAAAATTTCTTGCATATTAGAGAGGTTTCTTTCAGTATAATAACTTGTGGGACGAAGAAATTTACTATTGGAGTTTAATGGATGCTTGTCAAGAAAACAAGAGTTCAGTTCGGAGGAAGACAACAATTTGGCAGATTATAATTGTATTTTCTTTTGTATTTTTCTTTTCTAAGCAACACATGGCAATATGCGGTCTTTCCTTACACTTAGGTAGCACGGAAAGCCGGAAAACTCTTGAACAAAAGCTCATCTTTCAAACCGGCAGTCTAAATCCCACAGGTATCAAAGAACGCTTTTCATTCCACTAATTTCTTCGTGTTTTTCTCGTTGCCATGTTCCCACCAATCACGTAGCTCCTTTTTCTGCCTTTAAAAGCACACACAACCCACAATTCCCCTATTCGTTCCGACGAAGGGCTAACGCTCGAAACGTCAGCTTTTATAATTGTAACGGAGGCCAATTTACCATTTCAACTTTGGTGATATATTCAAATTATTTCGTTACCCCCACCGACGCAGCTCCAAACAGTTTCTTTAGAAACTATCAGCCTTTATTCAGATTATAATTGTTGTTCGATTCAGTCTGCGGTTCTTATTACAGCGAAAAACGTGTAAGTGGTCGGAAGTGGCCGGAAGGTTTGGAAGTTTTTCGGATGTGGTCGGAAGTGACCGGAAGTTGTCGGGCACGACAAAGCGTGTTCGGGAGTGGGCGAACGTGATCGGAAGTTTTTGAAAGTGGTCGGATGGGGTCTGAAATCATCGGAAGCAACCGCCTTCAGCGCTATTACTGATCACTGTAGGGCACTAAAGTGTGACTGTTGTTTGTTGTTTGAATGCAGGAAACACTCTGATTTAGCTACATTTCTTTCGGTATCTGTACCCTCACTATATTAAAAAAAGATAAATTTTCTCAGTCTTCAAACGATGATTCCCTAGAAAAGAGCCGTTTTTTTCTATCCATCTTCGTTATTTCATCGTGTAGGCGTATTTTTCAGTGCAGTTCTTAATTTGAACTTAAGGCCAATTTTTTTGTTGCCTTCATTCGAAATCTGGGGGTTTACCATTCGATTCCCGTTCGGACATCTGAGTTTGTGGCCGCGAGGTAACTTTGAAATATTTAATATTTAAGAATTTTTAAAGATGCAACTCACGCTATTTATTTTTCTTCTTTTGCTTTGTTTGTTGGTACAAAAATAACGTTAAATTTTAAAGAAAATACAAATTTTTGCATGGGAAGATACAAACATTAATCCGATGGTAGATCAAACAAAATAGGCACCAGAATGGCTACCAATGGAGAGAAATCCAGTGCGGAGTGCGATGCAAGGAAGCTGAAAATTAAGTTTTTCAAATAAATGAGCGGCGACTGGAAATGTTTTCAGTAAAATCTGTAAGGCGCGCTGAAATAAACAACATGCATTGTGAGGCTCAAAGACGTTTTTGAGCTCTTAAATAGCATGCCGGGAGCTTGAAGCATTCAGCCTGAAATATCTCACTTTTCGTTGTTTTTTCTTCACGATGTTTTAAACGCGTATAACATTTTTTGTTAGGCTCGAAACAGAATGACCAATCAACAGGATATCTGTACTTGAATAAGCTCTGTGTTCAAAAAATCTCGATTTTTCCTTTTCCCTACTTTCGCATCCTTTTACACATTTTATATCAAACGTTTAAAATTTTCTTCTACTACTTTTGCTTTATTCTTCTAATATTTCCTTTGAAATTTTTGCGCGCAAAATTGGCAGGCGTCGGCCAGAACTGATCCTTTAGTGCATGTCCGATGTTTGACCGCTGTGTTCCACGGTCTTCTGTGTACAACAGCTGTGTAATGCATACAATGAATCACAAGGAGGTTTTCTTGGTATCTGGGATGGCCTTCCTTTTCGTAATTTTGGAACGCTTTTTGGGAATAATATGAATTCGTAAAAGGGAGAATAAAAATCCACCCATCCCACCCTAGGGGAGGACATCCATCACACAGTAATCTCGTGCGCGGAAAATTAACGTCATTTATTCGTCCCTACGCAAGAAGACTGGAATATCTAACCGTTTCTTGATGTTATAGAAAGGTAGCATATTCTTCTCAATTATTTTAAGACCTTGAGTGTTGGTCCGGCCGGGGCTCGAACCCTCGACCTCCCGCACAACAGTCCAGCACTCTATCCATTGAACTAACCGCGGGAGGCGGTAGGCCATACTAACGCTACACTGATTGTTATTTACTGTCACGCTCCAGCCCTGTGCGCAAGCTATCATCGGAATCCGCTCGAAAACTTGCTGCCAAATTTGTATTTGCCGCCCCCCCCTCACCTAGTGATAAAGTGAAAATATGAAGGAGGCTCCCTTCCAAACCTTATGAAATTAAACGTAAATGGCCACTCGAACGGAGCTTTTTTTCTCCGAGGGGTTTACATGAGGGCTAAACTCGATCTGATGTTCTAACTAAAAAAGAAAAAGTAAACGCAGTGGTTAAACGTCAGGCATGCGCAAATGCAAAGGCCGCGCGCCGATCTTCTGCGTAAAATTTGGAAAGAGAGCATATGAAACAACCTCTGTCGCTCAAAATATAGGGAAAGAATTGAAACATCCATGGAAACCTGTAAAAAGGAACAAAAGTGGAGAAAAGGCCTATATGATTAAGGGCACCTTTTCAATCTACTAATTTTTTTAGCGATATTAAAAATGTCATACGCTTTTAAAACACCGTAAGTTACTTGCTCACCTGATTGTTTTAATGTGCGGTGATAATTTCTCCGGGACATTTTGATCTGTTAGCCTAAAAGTACGCCTAGAAGCCATTACAACGTTCGCACACACGCAGACACTTGATTACTGATTTTTTTAAGAATATTTTTGTCGATAAAAGTGACTCCGGATAATGGATTTCTTTAGTAAGAATTTTGAATGCGATGCTTTCGGGAAACATACTTCTATTTCCATCTAAAGCTCAAAATAACTTTATTAGCATCGACACCCGGGTCAACGTCCTTATTGTCTCTCTAATAGCTTGTTCTGGGAGGGGAGGATCCGAGGAAAACTGCGACCTTCACCCCCTCGGTAAGTTAATTTGTATTTAAATCATTTAGAAAAAGTCGAATCTTTAGAGTCGAAATTCCACGAATCATTCACTGCTCGTCTGACGTAAATTAGTAAAACATAACGAGGAAATCTACACGATAGTGGAGAAGGTTCTCTGAGTGTGACATCGAGTAACTTCTCTTTGGAAAAATCAACTCTTTCGTCTCAATTGTTCGCCGGAGTGAAAAGTAACATTATCGCACTAAGTCTTGTAAATTTTTGGTAAGCGAATTATTTATAAGCAGAAATGGACCAGTGATTTTGGCAGGTAATTTATTTATCACTATCTTATCGCCGTATCTACTCCAATTAAATTCAAATGAATGCCATGGATGGAGGAAAAATTACCGATAAACGTAGCCCTCGCATAAACACTGTACCTAATCAGAAGAATGCAGCGTTTAGTCGAGGATTTTAAGAAAAATAAAATTACAAGTAAGGTAGGAATTGGTAATCTACACCATCCGTAGAAATTTGAATAAAAAAGAGCAAGACATTGTAGTTTTAAACAAGTTTCTGCCTTTGAATAGTCGCCGAGTCGAAATCGCGAAAAAAAGCACGATAGCTAAATCTTTTACCTCAACGTAAATTTTCGTGAGCAGCGGAAGAACACTTATTTCATGAAAACAACCCTCTTAGAGAATACAG